TAAGACTAGCCTAGTTTAGAGTAAATAGAGAAGCTCTTTTTTTTAGAGTAAGCCTGGGATCCGTTGTAATTTTTTTTCTTCTAGGTTCATTTACGTCCCAGCCCAAACGTGGAGGGCGATGCAAAAGGCAGTTCATTGTCTCTGGGTTTTATTACAGGCATCTCAATATCCATTTCTCTAGCAGTTGTAATGATTGGGATCATTGGGCTCATATTTTATTGGCGCTACTTTAGAGGGTAAAAGTTTGTTACATTAATCCAGTGATATATATTTTACTATTCTATTATCGTAACGTTTCTAAAGCAGTGCGGGTTTACCCAATTTGTGCAGAGATACATTGTAGTGTATGGAAAGCTAAAATATATTAATTTGAGATTTTTGCGCGAAGGGCGTTTCTTTTTGACAATCTCAACCATAGCTTACTAACGCTCTACAATTTGACATTCTAAGTGTTGCTAGATAGGGTCTTAAATTTTGTTAGAAATACAGGGTTGTTTCGTAGGATCTTTGTTTTCATTTGAAGATTTTTTGAAAAAATAAAAAATAATAAATCTTAATTCGTGCTAAATCGACTTCAAAGTAATTTTGTCTTTTTTAACATTTTATTTTCTTAGAAAGTGGCACCATGAACAGAAGGATCATCGGGTAAGGTGATTATATTCCTGCGCAATAATATACAACAACAAGAACAAAATAGATAATCAGTGTCTACATATTATCCCAAAGACGCCTCCCTGTGATTAACTAGTATCTTCATAGTACATGACCCAGGTCACCTTATGACCATGGTGGACTTTGGCATCTGTGGATCACTAATTAAACAATATTATAGGTCAACTCCTTGTATATGAATTCTGTAAAGGTGGACCAGCATATCCCCACTGGTGAAAAAGGGTATATCAATACGCGTTTTCACGCTCTTTACAAAAACAGGCGGGACAGAGAAGTTTCTGCCTCATGGATTCCGTTGACCCAAAACGCCCGTGCCCCCTGATCAAGGAGCTGTAAGACTGAATCTTTAAATTAAGCGCCTTTTATTTGTGTCTATTTTACAGAATACCGTTATGATGAGCATACATAGAAACTCAGCATTCCAAGAGGATGATGACAATGCGAACAACTCGCTTGCTATTAGAGCAAACGTAATGCGTAAGAAAACACATTAAACAATCAATATGTAACTGATCTGGGCAATTGTAAAATATCTCATAAACTCTGGATCCGGGTCAATTAATTACACTACCGGTACTTTTGCTTTTGATGCATCTAAAAAACGGGAAACCACGCCCTCCGATTTTTTTAAAAGAATGCCTTATTTATAACCAATTTTATAACCAATACAAAATTTACCTTCCAAATATCCAATAAGGTGGATTTCCACTGTCGCGTAATTTTTACGTGCGCATGCGCACGTATATTTTACGCGCGTAAATAAAATAGAGGCAATGTAAGGAAGGTTACGCGTGAACGTTGAAATTTCGCTCAACTTTAACGTTTACGCACGGCCTTTCAAGGATGGCGTATATTTCATTTACGCACTAAAATTTTACGCGACATTGCATGGAAATCAACCCATACGGTCATTTGCAGTTGATTTCTCTGCTCTATTAATAATCATTTCTATAATCTATCACCTTCTATTTTTTAATCTAACATTGTACGTACGACTGTTTGTACCTTTCATTTTTCTTTCCCAGTTACTTGTAGTTTTGTATAAATGTCTACGCCAGTTGCACAAGGCAGTCAAAAAATCAAAAGCCTAAGCTTCTCTGGTCGCTGGACACATTTTACCTTTCACCATTTACCCAATTTTTTTTTTCGGTTCTTGCAATATACTGTAATGCATGAAGTTACATCTTGTAATCCTGCAAAACATTATAACGCTGAACCCGCATGATATAGTAATTGCTATGCCAGTGAGGCATAACTGCGTCGCTGCCGATAGACAATAGGGAGCTTTAGCAACGACGACGGCAACTGCAGCGAAAACGTCAGTTTTAAAATGAATTCCCGTTTTTTAAATTTTTGGTCGCGTTTATTCCAATTTGCTAAAAATGGCAAGTGTACGCGAATTTCCCTGGAGTTGATTTCTTGAGGACCGCACTCAAGTTTAGAGAGAGAAAAAGAGATTCGTCGTTGCTTGTTTACGTTCTCCATAAAACTTGCAATAAGGCATTTTCACGTCGTAGTCGTGCAAGGACGGTAAAGAAATGTACAAAAAAGCGTGATGCACGTGCAAAGTTGTTGTTTTGCGTAATAAATTTTGACGTCCTTGTTGCCGTCGCCCTCGTCGTTGCTAAAGCTCCCTAATATTCAGAGCAAAGTGAAGTCAATAGGGAGCTTAACCCTTTAAGCCCCAGTATCCACATACAAATTCTCCTGACTGATCTCTATACGTTTCCTTAAAGATTTAGTTGAGAGAATTTGATAATAGATCAAGGCATTCTCTCTTGGGTGATCATTTTATTAATTCTCATAGTTAACTTATCTCTTGAGTATGGATATTGTTAGGAGATAATTGATGTTGGTCACTATTGGGACTTAAAGGGTTAAGCAACAACGACGGCGACGGCTACGAAAACGTCACTTAAAAAGTGAATTTGCGCTACTTCAAAAAATAAAGCGCTTATTCCATTTCGTTCAGTTCGTCAGATGTTGACAATTTTTTGTGGAGTTGAATTCTAAAAGACTCTATCGAAGTTCAGGAAAAAGAAAAAGAAAGTCGTTGTCTTGCGTTCACGTCCTCCACAAAACGTGAAATTAGGCATTTCAACGTCGTAGTCGTGCAGTGACGCCGAAAAAAATGTAAGGTCATAGACAGCGAGTAAATCGAGCCAAGCAGTAGCTCGAAAATAAAGCTCAACCGCTAAAATGTTCGTTTCGAGCCGGTAGCCAGCACGGCACTTATTAGAAGTCTAAACATTCTCCAGCTTCGCGGTCGAATTTGTAAACTTGGTAAAATACTGATGTTTGTCTTCGACTATCATTAATATTTTAAAATAAGTAGTCCCCAGGGTGACTTTGAATTTTCAGTTAAAATAGAGTCAGTGTAATCCCTTAGCACTTTACTTTTGTAATTGACTGAATAAAACTTTAAAATATACAATCACATATGTTCAGAGTGAAACACTTCTTAATTCCTCATTTGTTTCCCTTGTAGGCACAATTTCCAGCCGACAAACTTCGCAGGTACGTCTTTAAAGTTATTAAAATAGCAATAATTAAATATAATATTGATCTTGATCATCTGCCACGTTGCTGATCTGATTTTATGTTGCTTATTATTCTGTGAAGTTGGCACCCTTTTTATTTATGGAAGACTCTGTGAATCACGGTTGTTCTCACGGTCCACCAGTTGTCTGCTGTTAGTGAGAAGAAAGTGAAATCACAAGTGTTTCAATTCAGCCTATTTTCAATGTCATGCCGCAAGGGGGATCGGCTAAGTCAGTCAAGACTGGGGTATAAGCTGGTTGTTCTTGTTCTTCCTACTTGTTTATTTACTGTTTTTATTCTTTTATTTATTTATTATTATTATTTTTCTAACGCCCACAGTCTTCACCCGACCAAACTGATGTTGGATACATGATGATGAAAGACCCTTCTTGCCCCGAGAGAACTTATGATTACGCTTACGCAAATCCTGTACAAGTAACAAACTCTTTAATCTTGATCTTGTTTTATTCATTTATCTATTTGCTTATTTATTTATTTATTTTTTCTAACGTTCACAGTCTTTTCCCGAGGAAACTGACGTTGGATACATGATGATGAAATAACCCTCTTGCCCTGAGAGAACTTGATAAAATGATTACGCTCACGCAAATTCTTTTTGAAATTTTGATCTTGTTCTATTCATTTAACTCTTTGCTTATTTATTTATTTTCTCTACCGTCCACAGCCCTTTTCCGAGGAAACGGACTCTGGATATATGATGATGAAAGGAGCTTCTTGCCCCGAGAGAACTTATGATTACGCTTACGCAAATCCTGTAGAAATGAAACCTCCTTCTTTAATCTCGCGGAGCACAAAAACGGTGTGCGTTCCCGCTGATGCCTCTGCTAATCAACAATCACCATCTGTTGAAGTCAGGTCACCAGCCATTTATATTAGTAAAAATTACGAAGACACGAAGAATATTAATGCAAAGAGCAGCTTATTTACTGAAGGTAAAAACGATTGCGTTAACGATGAATGTTATCGAATGGACGAATATAGTGATTTGTCTCTAGCAATTTTCTTTCTCTTTTTTGGTACCTAAACAATTTCTATAGTATATCCTCGGACAATCACTAAGTAAAACGGAATTCCTCGCCACTAGTGTCACCGACCTATGTACTAGGTAACTTGTTAAATATTCTAAATAAAGATTTGAAAACAACGATCAGAAATGTTTAAAGAAAAGGACTGCTGAACTCTAAATATTTTTGCCTTGTAGGGACCGTACCCAGCCCAATTTTACAGGTACACTTTAATAAATAGATAATATAAAGAATAAAATTGCACCTATTATTATTCTAACGGGATGTTTGCTGTATAGCTTATACCTTCTAATGATGCTACATATTGAGACTATATCGTGGGTGTAATTTTGTGTAATGGGGAGCAATAATATTTTGAAAAGTTGAAATTCTGCTACTTTTTGAAAATATACTCTTCCTCTATCCCATTCAGACTGGGCATTTTTGGGCTTCTTGGAACCGGCCTCAGAGACACGCTCCCTTTCACTTTAAAACTTTAAATATACTTGTATCTTAGCCACGATCAAGTTGAGGTCATTTTTTTAAATTATGGGTAAGTTTACTAGCTGGATCTGTATTTTCCAATTACTTACACCAAGAATATATTTGTAGCAGAAAAAGATAAAAAATCAATGGGTGATAAAATTATAAATTTAGTTGACGCTTTGACAGCTTTACCAGATTCAAATTTATCCTTTTCTTCAGAAAAGTTGCATTTAGTTACATTTCCTGATCCAAATAAGACGAATGGAGCATAACAGTCTTCTTTCGATCGTCCACAGTCTTGTCCTGAGAAACCTGAGACCGGATACATGACGATGGAAGGATCTCCTTGCTCCAGTAGTGCTTACGATTACGCTTACGCGAAAACTTCAAAACACACTAGACGAATATTGGTTTCCCGGGCAGGAATGAAGTGCGATAAAATCTCCACTGGACACTTCGGTGAAAATACGTCAAGAAATCAACAACAATCACCATCTGATGAATTCAGATCATCTGCAATTTATACTGATAAAGATTACAAGAATGCAGAAGACACCTGTGTGAAGAACAGTTTATCTTATCAAAGAGCAAACGACGAACGTTTGCAGGTGGATTGTGGAGCTTCTGCTCTGTCATATGAAAACTTCGCCGACAGCAGCTCGAGGCATTTCTCAACGGAGAGAACCGATCCTGAGGAGTATGTTGAAATGGGAAAGAGAAGAGGAGTGCGGTTTGCGGATAGTAAAGATAAAAATGGTCACAATGGCTTATCCAAAGAAGAAGAAGAAGGCCCTGGAAATCTGGTTCTCGTGAAAACTGGGAAGCTCAGATCATCTGCAAGTTCCCCTGATAAACATTACGAGAACATAAGTGCAAAGAATAATTCATCTAATGAAGGTGAAAACGAGGAGAGTTTACGGCTAGATTGTAGAGCTTGTGGTTTGCCTTATGAAAACCTTCCTGGTAGCAGCACCAGCCATTTTTCAGCGGAGAGAACCGATCTTGAGGAGTATGTCGAAATGAGTAAGAGAAGAACCGTGCAGCTTGCAGATAGTCGTGTTCAACCTGGTCTTCATGGTTTCCCCGGGCCGACATTGAAGAGGGTCCTTTCCAACTTGAGCCCCTGTAATGAGAAAAATGATGAGAAAATGGACGAGAAGGACGACGATGACGGAGTCGAAAGATGATAGCGATGATAATAATTCTCGAGTGCCTAATAAGACTGACGATCAAGGGCTGTATGGCAGCCGATACATACTGTACCACAGCAACGTCTAAGGTCGGAAAAATCACAAAAAAAAACCAACAACAAACAACGGACCTCTGCGTGACATTATGGTGTTTTATAGCTGTTGTGAATTTTTTATTTGCAATGAAACTGTTTTTATAAGCAAAGGTGAGGAAAAAGAAACCACAAGACTTTTTCAGTTTTGTCATTTTTGTCTTTGTATTGTGTAAATACAAGGCGAAGCCAAACGAAACCTTTATTAATATAAATTTCCAGCTTGAGCCCCTATAATGAGAAAGATGGTGGGAAAATAGACGAGAAGGACGACGATAACGGTGACGAAAGATGATGGCGATGATCATAATTCTCGAGTGCCTAATAAGACTGATCGATTAATGTTTTCGTCGGTGATACCGGCCAACTCCAATCAAGTCTATTTAAGCCCAATAGCTCAATTGGTCTCTCTACTGTTTACCTACCAGGGACGGATCCAGGATTTTTTTTAGGAGGGGGTGCACTCGTCTCTTGCTCTAGTTCAACACCAATAAACCGCATATATATATTTTTTTGAAGAATACCAGTTGTATTAGAAAACCGCAGGTCATCTCTGGGGGGAGGGGGGGGGTGCGCACCCCCTGCACCCTCCCCCTAGATCCGCCCCTGCCTACAGTTACTGGTTGGTTTATCCGTTGGAAAGCACTTTGAACAACTAGGCCATGAATGATAACCTCGCTTAAGTGCTTTTAAAAATTGCAATTGTACATGTAGAACTGTTTGAGTTTAAAATAGCCTGTCTCATTTCTAATCAGTAGTTACATTAAAACCTGGTACGGTAAGGATGCCATAAAAAGTTACATACAACCTTGAAGAGTTACTACAACCTTCTATGGATTAAAATTGTTCAGATATGCTGCTCCTCAAGTGTGGAATACGCTGCCCGATAACATAACAACTACTGAATCTGTCATTGCTTAAAAGCGCGCTATTCATAATATTACCGTGTAGATAATTTTTTTTAAGACGAGTCTAATAATATGGGCATGCGTAGAAATTTTATACTTTCATACTTTATCAATTTTACTGCATTTCTTAAATACTATTATCCTCGAAGATACTAGATCTCTTGAACTATTCTAAATCTGAGTTTAAATAAAGTTATATTTATGTATGTTGTATGTATACAGATACGTTTTTACTAAGTTACTTAAGGATTTTACATATTTTCAACAACCAGGACAAGAATACCCACATGCAATTCGGAAAAAGGATGACTGACCAGTATATGTTGTGAGATATGAGGCCTGCAATTCAAATCGGTAGAACTAAAAGGAGACTAGAAGCTTCTTTAGCGAGTAACAACAACATGTTTTCGAAGCGAAACGAATCAAATGAGGTAAACGGCTTCGAAACAAGGAGCATTCAATATTCTCTTTTCTATTGAACGACACATAGCCAAAACGTACCTCGTGAATGGAACCCTACTGAAATAACGATTAATTTAGCATGGCTAGAAATGGTTATTATAGAAAATACTCATTACTTTTTTGCCTGTGTCTTGCAAAATTCAATAATATTCGACACCTTAATATTCAATCCCCCATTTCCAGTTATCATTGAACCACTTGAAGGAAACTGACAACAATCCAATGAAGTGTCAATCTGAAATAAAAATGACGATATTCTTTCAATACAATTCATTCTTTTTTCCTCTTAAAGCACTTACGGAATAGCGATTTTTGGACACAAGAACAGTCCACTGTACAAAAAAAAAGCAGTGCTGTTGCTTAACAATATATCGATATTGCAATTAAAAACAAAACGATTTGCCTGGAGTCGATGAAAAAGTGGTCACTTTTGTCTCAAGTTCTTCAATTCTAAAATCTCAACTCTTTTTTTCAGTAGGAGGGTACAAATTTATCTTTTGTGGAAAAATGAAAACCCTTGCCATAAATGTTTTGGTCAAGTAGGTTTAAAATGCACTTAAAGCGACCCTTAATGCTTAAGAAGAGGATAGCATACCTAAAATGGAAATTGTTTCCATATATTGATGTGAATGAGAGTCTAGTTGCTAAGTAAAATGCTTAAGACTCCTTAATATTGAAACAAATATATTTTTCGAGTGTAGCCACAAATACATCTCAACATAATCACTAGAACTATTCGTTTCGACATTTCTGAGATGGCTTGCTATTTCCGGCCAGATTTGGTTTAGAAAGTGTCAGCACAATCTAATAGAAATTTAAAATGTACATTTTCTCGCTACAGAGAAAACAGGTACGTCTCTGTGTACGGACACTGGAAGAAAAGCTGAAAAACCTGGCTAAAAACCTTGAAGGTCAAGAATAGTCAACTTAATGATACCGAATGAAATGATGTTAACGATATTGATTTCATCAGTTCTTGTTTTCCACATTTTCGTTGGTTATGCGTTGGAAGACGCTTATGTTATTACCAGAAACTCTGGGCCAAAGGATCAGGTCTGGAATGGCAAAGACTCTTTTGAAATTCCACCATCGAAATGTAATCCATTAACAGCCTCAATAGCAGATGAATGCGAACTATTGGGAGCAGATCCGCCGGCGAGAAACCTGCCAAAGTGTTGTTGTCCGTGTCCTGGTAGCAGACCTACGCTCGCTTTCCTTAAGAATCAGTGGGCGTGTTTGGACAATCAGTTTATACGAGTCTTACAAGGTACGAAGATGAAGTAATTACCAAAATCATGTTGGAACAATTTATTTGCAGTTCGACCATGGGCATAATTATAGTTGGCATTTGATGCATAATATCTTTAATTACTACTTAATCAGGTTTGAAATCTCCGGTACGCAATAACAGCGTTGGTGAAAAGGTCGCAAAAAGACTAAGGTCAAAGTTAGAATTGTGATAATATTTAGTGTCTAAGCATTTACTAGTCATGCTCTACGTGCCTACAGGCACACGCATACGCATCATATTTTCTATCAAAAAATAGGTACATGTACAGGTTAACTCTCATAGTTACGAGCTATACCTATTCATACGTACTAAATATTGCTTTTCGTTGCTCATTACATAACAGACTGCAACCACACAAGCTATTTTTTGAATGAGCCAAGGAATCCTCCAAGAGAGTTATGGGCGTTACAAACCTCTCTCTCAATGTCAACCAATATTCCGAATAATGGCCTACAAAGCTGTGAGGTGTTGCCAAATTCTTCGTGGTATCTTGGGTGCAATGGGACGCGAGTGAAGTCACCTCTCTATCAAAGGAAGATGAACGACCTGTTTGCATTAACCAATGACTTTGGTGATGTTGTATTCAACTACGTCTCTCTAGAGGTACGAAAATGTCTTTTATATCGATATGTCAGAACAGGTGAGGTCAGAAACCATCACGAGAAGGTTGACGGCTCCATCCTTGTATATTCTCAGTAAAAAAAACGACAAAAGAAATGATAATTTCGGTGTGAATATATTTTTGCAAGGAGTACTTATAAAGGAGAGCGATTTTACGCCTGCGTTTGAAGGCATACTGAGTATTTGCACGTGGTTATCCGAGCCAAAAAAAGCACAACTTTTTTTACAAAAAAGGCAGTACCTTCTTGCTTAGTTATATTAGGATTCAATGTCACGCCATCGAAAAAAGAAAAAAAGAAAAAGAAAAAGAAAAAAAAAATCAAACCATTCGAAAATAGATAGATAAATATAGATTCACATGCGATTTTCCATACAGTATGAGATGCTCTACGGAATGTTTTACCCAGATAATTGAGTTTTCTGTGGAAAGGCCATGTAGGGAAACAGTGTTCAAGATTACAAGTTCCATGCATTAACCTGGATTATTATTCATTCAAAATATTTCCCCGATTCTGATTGGCTAAAAGCACACGTTTAATTCACCATAACCAGTTACTGATGACCAAATTTGGAAGAAATTTTACTTTAACGAGGAAATGACGTCAAAAATGCAGCGTTTTCGCAGGTCAAGGCACCGTTAACCGTGAAGACCTGGGGACGAGGTTGAGTTGCTTTGGTTGTGAACTTGAAAAAATGGCGGACATTTCACTGGTTTCAAGAGTAAGAACTAGGCGAAAAAATAGCTGAAAACATGGCAAGAACAGCAAGAACACAACTCGAAGGGCGCCATCTGCTATTTGGAGAATATTTGTGGAGCTGGACAAACCTAAACGTACGCTTTCGAAGATGAACTGAACATTGATGGATCGATGGAGGTAAGCATGTTTTAGCTATGTTTTTAAACTAGGAACTATTTTGAATGAATAATAAAACAGTTATTGAATTCGGCTTTCGTATCATATGAAGAATTATGGAGATCTCGCCTACGGCCTTGACGGATAACACCCTCCTCGATCTCCATAATTCTTCATAAGACACTCAGCCTCATTCATTAACTGTTAATTAAACGGAAAATAAGTTGAAGGAATAGGATGGACTAACGTCGTGAAGCAGCGCCGGGCCAAGATAATGAACTAAAAGTTACAAATGTTCAAATTGAAACCTCAACATTTTTCAATACATTTCTCTTCACAGGTTAGAGGTGGTGTTCTAAACGCACATTTGCTAGAGGGGAAAATTATCAACCTTGCTATACGATGCAACCTGTCAAACAGCAATGCCCAGTTTCACAGCTGCCTGATGTTTAAATTAAAGGGGCAACAAATATGTAAGTTTTTCTCCTCAGTAGATATCCGTTTTTCACTATTCAATGGTTATGATGATCTCTGAGCCGCCGTAAAAGCATTGAGATTTGTTCGCGCTTTTTTAAAAATTATCTGACAGTTATTGCCGGATTGCGCGAAAAATGCAGCTATGAACACTGATACTGGCCACATGATATCTTAAATTTTCAGAGGTAATCAAAGACTGACTGTAAATGTATTTCATCAGGTCCTGAGCCAGAACCTGAGCTATACACCCGCACCACTAGAAGTCCCAGAAATCCAAACCGAAATTCTCCTAACGACGTAAACACATCTCCGTCACCTGGCAACGTAAGTATAGGGGAAAAAGCGATGTCAGTGATACACGACGCCCTTTGGTCACATGATTTGAAATAGCCTCGCGGGTGAATTGACAACCCCTAGGCAGTGGGGTCTTAAAAATAGCAATAACAGTTAACAGCAATAACAGTTAACAACAAAAATCCAGATTTTTAGGGTGTTTAGGGTGGCTGCAAGTAAAACGCGGGGCCAGGGTCGGGGTCTATTTTTTGGGGGGAGGGGGGGGGGAGAACCCTAACCCTAACCCTAACCCAAACCTTAAAACAGCATTTTTTAGAAAAAAGACCATCAAAATATAAGAAGTAGGAGTTTCAACCAAAACTGCGAAGGGATATTTTAAAATTTTCGAGGAACAAGTCGTTCGACTCCAGAGCAAGGTTTTGAACCATTTATAGTGCTTTTAAAACTAAAAAGTACTCTTTAAAGAATAGCACGATTGACAATCGGCTTTTGTTTTTTTTAAAAAAGCGAAACACTGGAATCATCTGTCCCAAAAATTCAAACTGTTGTCTTGGCTATCTCAGGTAGCAATTTGTTATTGATATTCCACAACAATGTCATAGCTGAATTTTGACCGACTTTTAGTTACGGACTTCTGCTCCACCGATTTTTCTGAAATTTTCGTAGCATATTTATTATATCAAAAGCCGATACAAGAAATTGCAGTACAAAATATCGGTGATCTTCTTTACTAGAAGCGATTTTCTTTGAACAATGGGGTCCTTTTAAGCGCTAATGTCCCCCCCAAAAAATTACCATCAATGAAATCGGAATATTTCGTATTATTGCCGAATGATTTCTGTTGTTCTTTCCAAAGTTTCGCAGCCATCGCGTTGAAAACAAAAAAAGTTTTGACGGAAAGTCAGTCATAGCTCAATGCTTCTGTTTAATGACGGAGCCACCTTAATATTGTTCGGTGTCTTTTCAATTTTTTAAATCGCGCCACTTGGTGATTTCACCCGTCTTCAACGCCAGGAAACTACCCCCCCCCCTCCCCCCACAAAGAAAAACAACAACAACAAAAAATTGTGAGTTGCGAAAGGCCTTTTCCAATTTTTGTAGAGAGCATTTTGAAAGAAATTAAATTGGAGATTAAGTTTGCAAAACCAAGGAGTGACAAAAGGTTTAATACACCGATAATAATGAGTAATTTCTCACTATAACCGTACCATTACTTCGTCGTTAGTTTCACTCTCGTCCCAGCCCAGGCCATGAAGGCATCTTGGACGGTAGAGGGATCATAGGAGTCATAGCAGCCGTCATTGTCTCCATTGCATTTCTCATTGCGATTACCGTCTGCTTATTGTTTCATCGCCATCGGCAGCCATCAAAGTAGGTAGAACTTGACAGTAATAAATAAGTGTAACATGGCCAAATGTTTTACTTTTAGTAGGTCTGTTTACAGTCATCGGATACTGGGCTAAGATAAATGAAGGCTGAGGGTACGTTCACACCGGACTTTTAACGGCTAGGCCTAAAAAAGGTTGGTTAACTGCGCGTGAACGAAACACCCTAACGCACCGATTTTCAACCGGTGCCTTAATTGTAAACGCAGCCTGAGTTGGACCACGTCCCAAGTGGACTTCGTCTATTAATTGATCATTAACGAGGGAAACACGTGGAAGAAGCTCGCGGGGAGATGCTTAAACAAGCTGTTACGAACGTGTAACAAGATTTGTAACGAGTGGGACCAGCGACATTCAAATAACAGCAACACGTTTATTATAAACGAATATAATTTACATACACGATCAGAGTGAACACAACTAGTTCTAAGATACGAGCAAATACAGAGTTCGAAGCTTACTGTATCCGCTGGCACAGCCTCCAGTTCAGTTCCTAACATCAACAGATGTAATTGTCCGAAGACAATGTCCACATAAATCCATAAATGAGGGAAAAATCATAACCCAAAGCGGGCAAGCTAAGCATAGCCCCAAAAACTCCTGTCGCCTTCAACAAACTCGTGGGCTCCTCTCACATGCCCAAATATGGTCAAAGCAGTCAGTGTGNAAGCTAAGCATAGCCCCAAAAACTCCTGTCGCCTTCAACAAACTCGTGGGCTCCTCTCACATGCCCAAATATGGTCAAAGCAGTCAGTGTGCCATATTTGGCAAAACTTACAGATACATGTACATGTAACAAAGCGAACAAACGTAACTCATAAAAATAATTAAAAAAAACTTAAAATTAAAAAACGTTCTCTGCTTATCTTTCACCTTACAGAAAGCAAGAGCGTGACAATAATCTCTTCGAAGGTAACTTTCTATTCACTTTACATGCATGTTAATATAAAGATAAACTATGGCAATCCCTCCTTGTTTGGCTAACGTACTCATATTCTAGCTATAAGGTCCTAGAAAGCGCGTAAATCGAGCCAAGCAGTAGCTTTAAAATAAAGCTGCCATCACACAATAAGAAAATTAAACTCTCAACCACTAAAATGTTCGTTTCGAGCTGGCAGACAGCTCTTTTTGTTTTAATCTTACTTTGGAACTTGTTCGAGGTCTAAACATTCTCCAGGTTCAAGATCGAATTGTAACTTGGTGAAACACTGATGTCACTATCATTAATATTTTAAAATAAACTTTAAATTTTCAATTAAAATCGAGTTGCAATCTCTTGCACTTTACTTTTGTAAGTGACTTTAAAAAGCAGCAAACTGAATAAAACTTTGAAATATACAATCACATACGCTCAGAATGAAACACTTCTTAATTCCCCATTTATTTTCCCTTGTAGTCACAATTTCCAGCCGACAAATTTTGCAGGTGCGTCTTTAACGTAAAATATAGCGACTATTTAATATTATCTTGATTATAAACGATCTGTCATGTTGCTGATCTGATTTTATGTTGGTTATTATTCTGTGAGGTTGGCACCCTTTTTATTCATGGAAGACTCTGGGAATACTTCCTCGTTCTTACGTTCCACTAGTTGTCTGCTATTGGTGAGAAGAAAGTGAAATCACAAGGTTTACGATTCAGCCTATTTTCAATGTCATAGTCACTCAAGAGGGATCGGCTAAGTTAGTCAGGTTGTTCTTGTTCTTCCTATTGTTTATTTACTGTTTTTATTCTTTTATTTATTTATTATTATTTTTCTAACGTCCACAGTCTTTACCCGAGGAAACGGACGTTGGAGAGATGATAATGGAAGAAGGTTCTTGCCCCGAGAGAAGTTATGATTACGCTTACGCAAATCCTGTACAAGTAACAAATTCTTTAATCTTGATCTTGTTTTATTCATACATTTATTTGGTTATTTATTTATTTTCTCTAACGTTCACAGTCTTTTTCAGAGGAAACTGACGTTGGGTACATGATGATGGAAGAAGCCTCTTGCTCCGGGGGAAATTATGATTTCGCTTACGCAAACCCTGTACAAATAACAAATTCTTTTTAAAATTTGATCATGTTCTATTCATTTATCTCTTTGCTTATATATTTATTTATTTTCTCTACTATCCAAAGTCCTTCTCCGAGGAAACTGACACTGGATACATGATGATGGAAGGAGCTTCTTGCCCCGAGAGACCTTGTGATTACGCTTACGCAAATCCTGTAGAAATCACACCTCCTTCTTTAATCTCGCGGAGCACAAGAACGGGGTGCGTTCCCGCTGATGCCTCTACTAATCAGCAATCACCACCATCTGTTGAAGCCAGGTCACCAGCCATTTATATTGTTAAAAGTTACGAAGACACGAACAATGTTAACGCAAAGAACAGCTTATTTACTAAAGGTAAAAACGATTGCGTTACGGATGAATGTTATCGAATGGACGAATATAATGATTTCAATTGCCTCTAGCAATTTTCTTTCTCTTTTTCGGTACCTAAAAATTTTCTATAGGATATCCTCGGACAATTACTAAGTAAGACGGAATAGACCTTTTTACCGATACGGCGGCCAAGTTGAATTAATTCGATTTAAGGAGTATTATAGGATGCCCAGGAGGCATGAGCACATTTCGTTTGTATTTTTGAGCGCTTTTCGGGACATTTTTTCTTAAAGTTTTCTTAGAATAAGATTGTAATGAGAGAGAAGATCCTTGTGCCGTGTTTGGATGTAATAATGATCGCCTTTTTCTAGTTTAGTATTAGAAATATGGTCTTTCACTGTATATTTCTCGGGAAAAGGCGATCATTATCACATCCAAACACGGCACAGGGATCTTTTTTCCCATTAGAATCTTATTCTAAGAAAACTTTCAGAAAAAATGTCCCGAAAAGCGCTCGACAATACAAACGAAATGTGCTCTAGCCTGCGTAGCATGGCGGTTTTGTCGAGCCGGGCGCAGGAGCGGCGTAGCCGCGAAATTTGCGCGCGAAGCGCGCGAGAACGAGCGGCGAAGCCGCGAGAAAAATAAAAACCGCCTGCCCGGATTCGTGGCCTTTTCAACTGCCGCCCTTTTCAACTCATTTTGACATCCTGTTGACAACTTGTTTGGTTTTCCCAGCCAATCAGAAATAAAGTGTTGACAGTCTAAACACGACACAAAGGCTCGTGATATAGTGTAAAACATGACCTTGGCCGGAATTGGAGTTTGCTTGAACAAACACAGGTTTTTTCTTTGTGGATATCTCGCGTATAGGTGACTACACTGCGTTCTAAACTTGACTGAGTAGATCTTATTTTTGCTGCGCTAAGTCTTACATTTATTTAGAGGTCATGAAGTTGGTATGTTTAATCCGTATTGAGTAATTATTTCCTGTGGTTAATGTTTTTTTCGCTAATTAGAATTTGTTGATCTCAGATGCAGTTGTAAAGTACTAATTTCTTTGACCACTCTTAAAGCCTAAAGCTTTTTATTACGGTTAAATAAATATTTTAGTTTCTTTGGTCTTTTCCGACTAAAATGCCTGGATCTGGACAACTACAAACCAAGGAGCCTTGGTTTGTAGTTTCTTTGTCACTGCTTTGTCCGTGAATGTTTTGACGCTGGACCCGGCTTTTTAAGTGTTGTTTGCAGGATGTTGTATTTTTACGTATAGCGCGATCTTCAGATTTGAGTTGTAGCTTAAACTTAAGCTACACCAAGCAAAAAAGTATGGAGAATTACGCTGTGCGTCTTTCTTCTACTGTATGCCATTCATCGACCACAATCGCGGACACCGTTCGATGTATTGCGCTGGAGTGCGTTATTCTGTAACACCGAGTAATAGAGAAAATTGAGGTGAACTTTCTCGAAGCACTGAAATTTACTGTTTCTGTCATAAGGTCCATTGCTTTACAGCTCAGCGACAACATTTCAGATATCTGGTCGTCGATAGTACTTTTTAGAGGGGAAATTGTGATCATACAGGTTTTCGATGAGGATATTTCTTCTTTGGCCATAGCAAAGACAGTAAAGATCATGCTCTTGCCAAATCTTGTTGACAAAATTTTCATGACATCTCTCCTTTGAAGAAGACTGTAAATGGCCATTTCCTGTTTAGGCTTCAATACAATTGCCCTGTTTTCCCGTCAAATATTCAAGATCGACGACGCTCCGGTCAACGCTTCTTTGATATTTTGATTTTGTTTTGCGGAGATGATTTGTTCAGTCCCTCGAAACTCTCCCATGGGAGACTACCAAAATATTTGATTGACAGGCGAACATTCCGAACCAATCGGAACGACCCGTACGCTGGCGTACGGACCGACTCAAAAAAGCCCCCCGTCCGTGCAGGCGGTTTTTCAAGTTGCTTCCGCCCCAATCTCCTCGCGGTTTCTCTGCCCTCGCCCGCCTTTATTACTTAGCGCGCCAAACCGAAACCGCCATGCTACGCAGGCTAAATGTGCTCATGCCCCATGGGCATCCTATAATACTCCTTAAATCGAATTAATTATGGCCGCCGTATCGGTAAAAAGGTCTATTAATCGTCACTAGTGTCACCGACCTATGTTTATGTACTAGGTAACTTGTTAAATATTCTAAAGAAAGATTTAAAAACAACAATCACATATGTTCAAAGAATGGGATTGCTGAACTCTCAATATTTTTGCCTTGTAGGGACCATATACAGCCCAATTTCACAGGTACACTTACGTTAATAAAAAGAATAAAATTGCATGTATTGTTATTCTGAAAAAATTCATTAAAACGGAATGTTTGATGCTACACATTGAGACTATAGATCGTCGGTGTAATTATGTGTAATGGGAACAATAATATTTGAAAAGTTGAAATTCTGCTACTTTTGGAAGAATATATTCTGTCTCTAAACCATTCAGACTGGGCATTTTTTGGGCTTCTTGGAACGAGGCCTCAGAGACACGCTCCCTTTCACTTTAAAAATACTTGTATCATGGCTACGGTCAAGTTGAGGTCACTTTTTTTAAATTATAGGTAAGTTTACTGGCTGGATCTATCTTTTCCAATTACTTACACGAAGAATTTAAATGTAGCAGAAAAACGTAAAAAATTTGGGGGGTAATAAAATTATAAATTTATCTGACATTTTGACACCTTTACTGGATTCAAATTTAATCTTTTGTTTAGAAAATTGTCTTATTTAGTTAAATTTCTTGATCTGAGTAAGACAAATTGAGCATAACAATTTTCTTTCATCCACAGTCTCGTCCTGAGAAACCTGAAACTGAATACATGACGATGGATGAATTCAGATCTCCTGCAATTTACACTGAAAAAGATTACGAGAATGCAGAAAACACCCATGTGAAGAACGGTTTATCTGATCAAGGAGCAAACGACGAACGATTGCAGGTGGACTGTGGAGCTTCTGCTCTGTCATATGAAAACTTTCCCGGTAGCAGCTCGGGACATTTTTCAGAGGAGAGAAACGATCCTGAGGAGTATGTTGAAATGGGAAAGACAAGAGGCGTGCAGTCTGCGGATAGTGGAGATGAATATGGTCGCAATGCCTTACCCAAAGAAAAAGAAGGCCCTGGAAATCCATTTCTCGTGAAAAGTGAGAAATTCACATCATCTACGATTTCCCCTGATAAACATCACGATAACGTAAATGCAAAGAATAGTTCATCTAATGAAGGTGAAAACGACGAACGTTCGAAGCTAGACTGTAAAGCTTGTGGTTTTTCTTACGAAAACTTTTCCGGCAGCAGCTCGGGACATTTCTCAGCGGAGAGAACGGATGCTGAGGAGTATATTGAAATGGGAAAGAGGAGAGGCGTGCGGTTTGCGGATAGTGAAGATAAAAATGGTCAAAATGGCTTATCCAAAGAAGAAGAAGACGGCCCTGGAAATCTGGTTCTCGTGGAAACTGAGAAACTCAGATCATCTGCAAGTTCCCCTTATAAACATTACGAGAACATAAGTGCAAAGAATAATTCATCTAATGAAGGTGAAAACGACGAGCGTTTGCGGTTGGATTGTAGAGCATGTGGTTTGCCCTACGAAAACCTTCCCGGTAGCAGCACCAGCCATTTTACAGCGGAGGGAACCGATCCTGAGGAGTATGTCGAAATGGGTAAGAGAAGAAGCGTGGAGCTTGCGGATAGTCGTGGTCAACCTGGTGATCATGGTTTTCCCGGGCCGACATTGAAGAAGAGGGTCCTGAATATCTAATGCTAATCGGAAGTGGGCCTGTTAAAGTGAGTTTTAAACTGACTTTTCGGTGACAAAAGGTCATGGCGATGATAAGACGATCAACGGCTGTATCACAGCCGTTACCACAGTAACTTCGTTGATCGGAAAAATCACAAAAACAAACAACGGACCTCTGCGTGACATTATGGTGTTTTATAGGTGTTGTTAATTTGTTATCTGAAATGAAACTGTTTTTTTAATTTTGTAAGCAAAAGTGAGGAAAAAGAAACCACAAGACTTTTTCAGATTTGTCATATTTGTCTTTGTATTGTGTACGTCCAAGGCGAAGCCAAACGAATTAAAAAGCTTTATTAATATAAATTTCCAGCTTGAGCCCCTATAATGAGGAAGATGGTGAGAAAATAGACGAGAAGGACGACGATGACAGTGACGAAAGATGTTGGCGATGATCATAATTCTTGAGTCCCTAATAAGACTGATCGATTAATGTTTTCGTCGGTGATACCGGCCAACTCCAATCAAGTCTATTTAAGCCTCCACTCTTACAATGTCCAACTACCTGTTCTTGTTGTGTGTGGGATAATGGCTAGCATAATTCAGCTACGTGATGATTTTACTGATGATTTTTTTTTATCAGCGCGATATGTCCGGCGGGAATACGTAATTTTATGCTTGATTTGTTGACGCTTGGTAGTCCGAAAACAAGTTAAATAATTTTATGTTATATCTTGTTAATGCAGCTTTTTTTGTTTAAGTACTTTCAAAAAAAAATGGAAGAACAGGTCACTGAGGCGAAACGCTGAAGAAGTAATTGTTGCGATTAATCGCCTGCTGGTTTAAAAACGATGGAAGAGTGCATTAAATTGGATAATGCCCTCGCCCCTTGGCCTTCCTTGTTCTGCGCGCTCGGTCATCATTTGTTAATGCTTCCATGTAAGGCCAACCAAGCGTCCCTCTGAGCTAAAGCCTTATGTTATACATATGATATGTTTCCGAGAAAGGACTGGGCGGTGTCATCTTAGCCTGAGAAAACAGCCGACATTTCGCGACGCCACCACTGCTTCTGATTGGTCGTGCCGCGTGTGAAATTTGCTTTAACCATTTAGAAGCACTACCCAGATCTGGGTAGTGACGCGTCATGAGTATGGAAATTCTGCGCTCGTTTCTCAGACGTCATAATTGGCTATCTTTCTCCACGCTCTTGCTCATTTTGATCGAAGTTCAATTTTTACTTTGTGAAGTTTTTTACCCTCATTACCATATTTCGTAGTTGGGAACTTTCTTTTTAATTTGTTGTTGTTGCTGTTGTTATTTCTTGTTCTCGTTCGTTTTCTTTATATGAGTTCCACAAATTTTCCAGCAATTTGACTAATTAGATTTATCGCAACCTTCAGTTATTATTTTCAATATTCGTGGAAATTGTAAAGTTAGGGAATCTTTTTTTTTTTAAAGGATGCTTTAACAAAAGGTTCGGTTGCACTAGGGGAGCTTGCTCCTATTGACCATTACCACCAAATTTGTCAAGAACAGGCAATTATTTTATGACTGACTTGTGAAATTCCAATTCACAAAACGGTGGATAACGCTATCCGCATGATAAATATTAGTCAACTAGACAGCTCAGACAATTGGTCTCGTCTACTGTTTTCCTACATTCACTGGATGGTTTCTCCGTTGGATAGCACTGTCCATCACCATCTTTTGAATAACTGCGCTTTAGTGCTTTTAACAATGGCACATGTTCAACTGTTCGAGTTCAACCCTTTAAACCCTAAGATCAAAATTTGAATTCTCAATTATTGCCCCTGTTCATTTCTTACAGAAGTAGTTGGGAGAAGTAAGATAAAGTATCAAGCAAATTCATCTTGTGTGATCATGTCCGTAATTCCCATGACCACTCTGTTTTACAAAGCATTGATATTACAAGGAGAAATTTGATGCTGATCACTCTTAGGGCTTAAAGGGCTAAAGTAGCCTATATCAGTTCTAATCAGTAATTACATTAAAACCTGGTACGAATTGCATAGGAAGTTACATACAGCCTTGAAGAGTTACTACAACCACCTATGGATTGCAATCGTTCAGATTTGCTGCCTCTCAAGTATGGAATAGGCTGCCTGATAACAGAAGATCTTCTGAATCTCTCATTGCTTAAAAGCGCGCTATTCATAATATTACTGTGTAGATATTTTTTTCTAAGACGAGCCTAATAATATGCGCATGCGTAGCAATTTTATACTTCCATACTTTATCAATTTTGCTGCATTTCTTAAATACTATTACACTCGAACATACTAGATCTCTCGAACTATTCTAAATCCAAGTTTAAATAAAGTGATATTTATGTATGTTGTATGTATACAGATACGTTATTACGAAGTTACTTAAGGATGTTACATATTTTCAACAACCAGGAGAAGAATACTCGCATGAAATTCAGAAAAAGGATGACTGACCAGTATATCTTGTGAGATATGAGGCCTGCACTTCAAATCGGTAGAACTAAAAAGAGACTAGAAGTTTCTTTGGCGAGTAACAACAACATGTTTTCGAAGCGTAACGAATAAAATGAGTAAACAGCTTCGAAGCGAAGAGCATTTAATATGCCCTTTTCTTGTGAACCACACATAGCTAAAACGTACCTCGCGCATCAATCCCTTTTCAAATAACGATTAATTTAGGAGGGATAGAAATGGTTATTATAGCACATACTCATTATTTCAGAATTAATAGGGACTCAAAAGAATAAATTATTTCATTGCTTTCGTCTTACAAAATTCAATAATATTCGACACCTCAATATTGAATCCCCCATTTTTAGTTATCATTGAACTACTTGAAGGAAAGTGACAACAATCCAATGAAGTGTCAATCTGAAATAAAAATTAAGATATTCTTTCAATCCAATTCATTCTATTTTCCTCTTAAAGTACTTACGTAATAGCGATCCACTGTACATAAAAAAAAAGTGCTGTTGCTTAACAATATATCGATATTGCAATTAAAAACGATTTGCCTGGAGGCGATGAAAAAGTGGTCAGTTTTGTCTCAAGTTCTTCAATTCTAAAATCTCAACTCTTTTTTTCAGTAGAAGGATACAAATTTATCTTTTGTGGAAAAATGAAAACCCTTGCCATAAATGTTTTGGTCAAGTAGGTTTAAAATGCACTTAAGGCGACCCTTAATACTTAAGAAGAGGACGGCATACCTAAAATGGAAATTGCTTCCATATATTGATGTGAATGAGTGTCATGTTGCTACGTAAAATGCTCAAGACTCCTTAATATTGAAACGAATATATTTTTCGAGTGTAGCCACAAATACATCTCAACACAATCACTTGAACTATTCGTTTTGACATTTCTGAGATGGCTTGCTATTTCCGGCCAGATTTGCTTTAGAAAGTGTCAGCACAATCTAATAGAAATTTAAAATGTACATTTTCTCGCTACAGAGAAAACAGATACGTCTCTGTGTACGGATAGTGGAAAAAAAGCTGAAAAACCTGGCTAAAAAAGAAGAAGGTCGAGAATAGTCAACTTAATAATACCGAATGAAATGATGTTAACGATATTGATTTCATCAGTTCTTGTTTTCCACATTTTCGTTGGTTATGCGTTGGAAGACGCTTATGTTATTACCAGAAACTCTGGGCCAAAGGATCAGGTCTGGAATGGCAAAGACTCTTTTGAAATTCCACCATCGAAATGTAATCCATTAACAGCCTCAATAGCAGATGAATGCGAACTATTGGGAGCAGATGCGCCGGCGAGCGACATGCCAAAGTGTTGTTGTCCGTGTCCTGGTAGCAGACCTACGTTCGCTTTCCTTAAGAATCAGTGGGCGTGTTTGGACAATCAGTTTATACGAGTCTTACAAGGTACGAAGATGAAGTAATTCCCAAAATCATGTTGGAACAATTTATTTGCAGTTCGACCATGGGCATAATTATAGTTGGCATTTGATGCATAATATCTTTAATTACTACTTAATCAGGTTTGAAATCTCGGTCAAGCAATAACAGCGTTGGTGAAAAAGGTCACAAAAAGACAAAGGTCAAAGTTAGAATTGTGATAATATTTAGTGCCTAAGCATTTACTAGTCATGCTCTACGTGCCTACAGGCACACGCATACGCATCATATTTTCTACCTAAAAATAGGTACATGTACAGGTTAACTCTCATAGTTACGAGGTATACGTATTCATACGTACTAAATATTGCTTTTGGTTGCTCATTACATAACAGACTGCAACCACACAAGCTATTTTTTGAATGAGCCAAGGAATCCTCCAAGAGAGTTATGGGCGTTACAAACCTCTCTCTCAATGTCAACCAATATTCCGAATAATGGCCTACAAAGCTGTGAGGTGTTGCCAAATTCTTCGTGGTATCTTGGGTGCAATGGGACGCGAGTGAAGTCACCTCTCTATCAAAGGAAGATGAACGACCTGTTTGCATTAACCAATGACTTTGGTGATGTTGTATTCAACTACGTCTCTCTAGAGGTACGAAAATGTCTTTTATATCGATATGTCAGAACAGGTGAGGTCAGAAACCATCACGAGAAGGTNAAAAAAAAAAAAAAAAAAAAAAAAAAAAAAATCAAACCATTCGAAAATAAAATAATATAGATAAATATATATGATTTTCCATACAGTATGAGATGCTGTACGGAATGTTTTACCCAGACAATTGAGCTTTATGTGGAAAGGCCAAGTTGGGAAACAGTGCTCAAGATTACAAATGCCATGCATTAACCTCGATTAAACGGAAAATTAGTTGAAGGGATAGAATGGAGTATAACATCGTAAAGCAGCGCCGCCTCAAGATAATGAACTAAAAGTTACAAATGTTCAAATTGAAATCTCAACATTTCTAAATACATTTTCTTCACAGGTTAAAGGTGGTGTTCTAAACGCACATTTGCTTGAGGGGAAAATTATCAACCTTGCTATACGATGCAACCTATCAAACAGCAATGCCCAGTTTCACAGCTGCCTGATGTTTAAATTAAAGGGGCAACAAATATGTAAGTTTTTTCCTCAGTGGATATCCGTTTTTCAGTATTCAATGGTTATGATGATCTCTGAGCGGCCGTGAAAGCATTGAGATTTTTTTCGCGTTTTTTTAAAATTTTCTGACAGTTATTGCCGGATTGCGCGTAAAATGCAGCTATGAACACTGATACTGGCCACATGATATCTTAAATTTTCAGAGGCAATCAAAGACTAACTGTAAATGTATTTCATCAGGTCCTGAGCCAGAACCTGAGCTATATACTCGCACCACTAGAAGTCCCGGGATTCAAAATCCAAACCGAAATATTTCTCCTAACCACGTAAACACATCTTCGTCACCTGGCAACGTAAGTATAGAGGGAAAGAAGCCTATGACATGACATCTTCGCGGCACTTTCACGCGATGTCAGTGATACACGAGGCCTGTTGCTCACGTGATTTGAAGTGGCCTCGTAACCCTTTTGCAGTGGGGTCTTAAAAACAACAACAACAACAAGAAGGACAGCAACAACAGTTAACAACAAAAAGCGAGATTTTTTGGGTGTTGCTTGGTGTTGCGGAAAACACACTTTGTTCGCTTGTTTGGTGTTGTGTGGGTATTGTACCGTGTCTTTTCAATCTTTTTTATTATGTCATTTGGTGATTGCACTCGTCTTCAACACTAAGAAACTACCCATTTGTTTGTTGAAAATCACTATCATAACAATTTCGTCCCCCTCCCCCCACCCCCAAAAAAATGTTAGTTGCAAAAGGCCTTTTCAAATTTCGTCGAGAGCATTTTAAACGAAATTAAATTGGGATTAAGTTTGCAAAAGCAAGGAGTGAAAATACTAGGTTTAATACACCGGTAATAATGCGTAATTTTTCACTATAATCGTACCATTACTTCGTCGTTAGGTTGACTTTCGTCCCAGCCCAGGCCATGCTGGCGTCTTAGAAGGTAAACGGATCATAGGAGTCATAGCAGCCATCATTGTCTCCATTGCATTCCTAACTGTGATTATCGTCTCCTTGTTTTATCGCCGCCGGCAGCCATCAAAGTAGGTAGAACTTGACACTAGTAAATAACTGCAACAAGACCAAATGTTCCACTCTTAGTGGGTCTGTTTGCAATCATCGGATATTGGGCTAAGGGCTGGTTCAGACGCCGTATTTTTCATGCGCCGAATCTAATTAAATAAGTTCGACTTTAGAGCGACACTGGCGTGACATCTGATTCAGACGGCCCACTGTGTATCGAGCCTAAGACTCTGTCGAACTTAACGCTTTTGCCGCACCAAACTAAAACTAGGGTACCGAATTCATTCCCAACGCGGCTCTTTTGCCGTACTCAATTCATCAGTTATAGGTTCGGTATATGAGTGGAGCGGCGTCTGAACCGGGCCTAAGACAAATGACGCCTGACTCTACGTTCACACGGAATTTTGAACGGCTAGGCCTCTACCGTTGGTTAAAAACGTGTGAACAAAACACCCTAACGCACGGATTTTCAACCAGTACCGTGTAAAGTGAGTTGGACCACGTCCCAAGCAGTCTTTACCGCCTAATTGATTATTAACACGTGGAAAAGCTTGCGGAGGAGATAGGAAAAAGGAAGTAGGGAAAAGAGATACAACAAGCATAATATAGTATTAATATTACGCGACCGTTAACGTCACCAGTCTTACAAATGATGAAAGAAGACCCTGGACAAGTCAGACACGAAATCAGTGGCCGCCTACCCGAGTTCGTCAACAGAAATAAAATCACCCCCTAAATTCATCCTTAGCTTTTCTTTTACTTTAAAAACGCAAAGACAACAAAATGGACAAATATTTCTCTAATATTAGTAATTTTTCCTTTTCGTTTTCACAGTAAGAAAGCTAAAACAAATAAAGGAAGAGTCAATGGCCATTTTCAGGTGTGTGAGGGCATGGTAAAGACAGTTGCTAGTTACAGTCAGTCTTGAGAACAATGCATGATAAAACCCGTTTGTAGTTTTCAATTAAATCCCCTATAGAGTGTTTTCAATAGACAGCAGCTATGACAAATTTATTGTGACAAATGAAAGCGTTTCCACTACAGTATTGTTTTGTTAAATTAACATGGCCGCCTCTATATTATTAGGAGACATCTGCCACGTTGGACAACATGGTGGTCGTGACGTCATGCAATAAGGCTCTATTTGTAGTTTTTTTGCATTAACAGTTTTGAGCATGTTCCATGATGATGATGATGAATGATAAAGAACACACGAGTGTACAGTTTACAAAATGTGTGCCGGTTCGCTATCTAAACAGTTCAAGCCCCGTGCAAACGGACGCAACTTTTGTTGGCCAGCAACTCTCAATATTGTTGGGAGTTGTTGTGTCCGTTTGCACGTATAGTAGCTAAAAATTTGACTGCTTTCAAACTTTGCACAACAACTCCCAACAACACGCAACAGGGTGTGCAAACGGACGCAACATGTAACATTCAACAATGTTGCGTCCGTTGCGCGTAGCATCATAGTAAACGAAAATTTAGAAATTAATGATTAGGTATTCAACATCCTTTTGTTTGTATTCTATACTTCATAGGATGCTGTAGTGATGAACAGGCAATCAAACTCAACGATTCAGCAGGAAAATAAGAACGAGTACAACGAACTCAGTAACTGGGCAACAAGACAACCGCGTAAGTAGGCATGCACTATAAAATATGATCACTTTATTACACTTCAAAGAAGCTTATATACAAGCAATTCTTTACAGTTACTCCAAGAAAAAATGTTGAATTTGTTTTTTTTTTCTATTGACTTCTATTTTATTTTCAGAAATCTATGCTAGAAAATACAACGTCCCTCTGCGCCGAGAACACAATGGAATAGGTCATAACACAGTGCTCCCTCTAAACCCTCCCGTGGAAGAAAATATGAAAAGGTCAGAGAATAGCCGAGAGCTGGATCCGGACTATAAGGATTTCGAACAGCAATTTACTAAGGGGAAAACGGGTTTACAGAACGGTTGTATCAGGTTAGACCAGCCAGTCTACAATATCCTGGAGGAACTTCCCACTCAAGGAGAACCAAATATGAATATGAATAGGCCAGAGAATAGCCGAGAGCTGGATCCGGACTATGAGGATTTCGAACAGCAATCTACTGAGGGCAAAACGGGTTTACAGAATGGTTGTACCAGGTTAGACCAACCAGTCTACAATATCCTGGAGGAACTTCCCACTCAAGGAGAACCAAATATGAATATGAATAGGCCAGAGAATAGCCGAGAGCTGGATCCGGACTATGAGGATTTCGAACAGCAATCTACTGAGGGCAAAACGGGTTTACAGAATGGTTGTATCAGGTTAGACCAACCAGTCTACAATATCCTGGAGGAACTTCCCACTCAAGGAGAACCAATGACACTTAATAACTGTGATAATAAAGCACTAAAGCAGGTTTTGCAGAGACTGCATCCTAAAAACGCTACAGAGAATAGTAACGGCGGTTGTTCTACGTCAAAAGGACATTTATCCGTCAAAGATCCAAAGGAACCGATGAGTGATGGTACTGAACGGGAGTACAAAGTTTTGGAAGGGCCCATTGCTGAGGGAGACACCTTTCACCATGGTGCCAACCCATCTAAAGGACCCCTTTATTACACGCAAGAGGAGCCTCGTCAAAATGATCCTCATGGGGAGCAAGAAAAAAATTATCAACACCAAGGTGACAGAGTCTACCATGTTCTCGAGGAAAACACTTACCTGAATACATTTCAGTTCCCAAACGGGACTTTTTAGGCGAGAAGCGCCAAATATCAAACAATAGAGGAACCTGCTGAGGTGGCAATTCCCACTTGCCGAATAAATACAGTCGAATCTTCCAAAGCGACTACCCAAAATTCACAATAAAACAGATAGCTTTTCGTATCGTCACGAAAATCTTTCCGGTGTAGTATGAACACCTACCTGATATCTCCACTATAGAGATTGGCGCGGTTCAATTTCGCTCCGTTACGAAATCGCCCCGAAATCACCTTTCTTATATGTGAACAGAAGCCCTATCCGGTATGGTTTCTGTGCCGGCGCAAGTTATCAAGTATACTGTGAACATAGTGGTCGTTTAGCAGAGGTTCTCTATTAAAAGAATGTAGTATATACTAAAACAGTGGATAGTGTTTTTCGCGCGCTCTGATTGGCTACTCAATCAGTGAATATCCTGCACTATTCACTGATTCACCTCCAGTTCCTCCAGCGAGCGACGCCAAACTCGCTAAGTTGCGAGTAAAATGCCTTCCCGGTTTGCTGCCGTAACAAACAAAGAAATTTCACAAATAATCAAGCAAGCTGTTCCCGAAATACATGAAGAAGGTGACAAAGTTTGGTTTGGAAGTTTTAACAGGTAAAGCTTTCTCTTTTTGACTTGAATTTAGCGAACCGGTGAAAAAGGTTTTTGTTTACAAATGCAAATTAAGGTTAAGTCGTGCGTTACTTTATTTGGTTGACTTGTTCATAAATAAACTTAAAACTCGAGTGAATGAGTTAAAAATCATCATTTTTGTGCTCAATTATCTCACTGTTTTAGTATATACTAAGACAATTATTCACTTCAGTGTCGGTGGCTAGTGGTGGATATTTACGTCTCGGTAAATAGGTACCACTAGCCATCCCCAATTCGGTGAATAATTGTTATCTAAACAACAGGCGATCTCTTCCGTGAAGAGGTCCGTACACACCTGCTTTATAATATATAATTTCATGCATGCACTTTCTAAGTTACGATATGTGAAGTTTCATGTTAAAAGCCGTTGAACGTTCTTCGTATCCTCGATATCCTTAAGTACCAACAACGAACAAGGACCATAGCATGCGTCGAATGGTCGTTTATGGTGTATCCGTCCAAAGAAAGATCCTGGTACTAGTGTATAATTCCTTTGTCGTTTATACGATGGCATTAACAAACAAGAAAATGAGCATATGATTTGGGACTGCATGCGTAGTTTTTGCTGATCTAAGTGAACGGATCCTGAGATCGTTGCAAAGCGCAAGCATACGCAATGAAAGCAGCTTCTTGTAAGTTATATTGTGAAGAGTGAATATATAGTACCTAACTTTGTTAACCTAAAAATATAACCTAAATATAATACGACCAGTCACAGAAAAATGTGATGATAACTGTAAACATGTAAATTACATTTAGTCTGCCATTGATGGAGATCTTAGAAAAATAAATAAATCATTGAAGCACGTTATCTGCAGTAAATTATTTAACAATTCATGCATATTCGTGTTAACCCTTTCACTGCCAAAGTGTTTGATGGAGTTTTGTAAAGTGACTAACTTTTGAGTCTGTGGACGAAATCCTATGATGTGACCATTCAAATGAAAGCGCTCTGCCTGTACTTTCACACGATGCTATTTGTTTTTCAAAATTTTAGAAAATGAATTTAAATTTGCAAATTTGGTCGAAATTTGCCTTTGCCCTCTTTTGGCAGTGAAAGGGTTAAACCTCCAGTTGGTAGAGAAAAAAATAATGCAAAACCTCTAGTTTTGAGTCCGCCTTGTCGCCAATTAGAATGGAAATGACCAAAAAAGAGATATCAAGAAAAAGAAAACAGTTTCATGTTAAATGGACGTGATTAAGGTCCATTTTGTTTTTGGTGCATGCTTTTTAGCCAAAATTTGGACTTTTTTAGACCAATTTCGATATATTAAAATTCATACTTGGTTGCGAGGCTTAGAGGAATAGAAAAAAAGAAATGAATATTGTTTCACGTTTAACACACTAACACCATCAATAGAAAGGGCTTCAATAAAGTGAAGGGAAAAATGGAGCCAGTTTACAACGTTCTGGAAGAAAGTCGTTTTTACGGGCCTAATAAGTTGACATTTCTGGCGGGCATTCCGGTTTTGATCAACAGTAAACTTTCCTTACACGAAGTTGAGATACACTGCATGAAGTGTGTAATAAGAGTAGGCCGCTGAAAGAACTTCAAATAGCTATGGAAATTTATGAAAACAAACTAGAAACTTAGTTTAGTCGTCTTACTAGGTGACATTTAACTTCCAAATAGGGGGCATTTAAGTAGCCGGTAATGGGAGTAACCATCAACAATAGCTTCCAATTGGAGTAGCTAACCAGCATACAGTGTGGAAAGAACTTCTTGGATCTTTTTTTTTTTTAGTAAGAGCGAAAGTTTCCCCCTTTTTACTCACACCATTCCAAATGAGCTAATTACCCGTCCAGTATCATTTTCAAACGTGATTACCCTCGACCTAATTGGGGCCTCCGCACTAATATACGCAGCTGCAATGGCGAGGTTGGCTGAATGCTTGTACTGTTGCGTAGTTCCTAACAAAAAAGGTTAAATGTCAGTAACCACATTGTTGTGTATGGTAGGCGGTTACACAGTAATACGTGTTTGAGGGTTTCGCAAGTGACATGAATGAAAATGGATTAAATTTTCTTACAACGTTAACCTTTTTAGGGATAACGTTTTCCCGCTTTACAAGCTTAAAACGAGACATATCGTTGGATTCCCTTGATTAATCGAATACTGTTGTGGGACAGCTAGCCAAATTAGAAATGACTTACTCCACTTTATTTTTAGTAACTACACCGTTCAAGTCCGATATCATTCTCGAAACTGAATGGTTTACGTCACGTCACGTGGGATTATTTTTCGTTAGAAAAGTGGCAAAGTTGACACGTCTTTCCTTTACAAAGTACGAAATACTTTGAACATATAATGTTTAAAGAATTAAACGGGCCTTAATTTTGAATATAGACCCTTCCACGGCTTATTCAACTTTTGACTGGGACCATTTACCAAAATTCTGCCAAGTTGAAAACCTTGGAGAGTCTATTTTGGTCAAAATATGTGGTTTTGATATCAGTGCTCAGTGAGCGGAAGCAGTGACAAACAATTGACTTATTTCGGACTAGCATATTCTTCTTACGTGCACTGCCGCCCACGTCATGACTTCATACTTCATCCCAAACAATTCCGAATGGTCGCCTTTTGTTTCGTTTCGCTGTTTTAGTATGTTTCCGGGTCATGACAAAGAACAATATAATAGGAAGTTTAAGAAGTGATCTTTTGCGCTATCACGCATAAACAATAAATAAATCAATTATAATTCCCACCTATTGCCACTTGCAAAAGTGATAACTTTTCTTTAGTTGTGAGGGGCAAAGGAGGTTTTTAGAAAGTGAACTCAATTCTCTATGTCTTTACGCGCACAATGTACCAACGTGAACCAACGTCTTAATTGAAATTAAGTTTTTAAACCTTTCCAAATATCGTGATTTGGCACTGCGAATTCCACAATGCATCAGGTAGTATAGCGGGAAAGACTGGGTCAGTCTTATTTTAATGTAGGAATTGCTGGTGAAATCACGCACCAGCACTATAAATCCTGTGTTGGAACACCCTTTGAGGAAGTAATTCTAAATGTACACGTCTTTTTACTATCTATATCGCAAAAAACAAGGGAGGGAGATAAAAAAAAAAAAATGTATATTTATGACAAATTGCCTAAGGACATTTCTGAACATGCGAAGACGTGGTTTAGATGGAAAATTCAAACAAAAACTTTATTCGATGTGTGACGGAGTGATCAACATAAGCAGATCTAGGCCTTTCTTGACGAGTTTTTCTTTCCGTTCCGAAAAGGAAATTAAAAATTCAGTCCAAATTTAGGTCATGGTGAAACGTTCTCGTTACTTAATAGAGAGTACACTTACTGTCCTTCCGAGCCTCAGTTAAGTACAGTGTAGTCGGTGTTGTAAATATAGCTCGAGAAGGAACAAGAACAGAACTGAGATGCCTTTAACGGCGCGGTTGATGTCAATTTTGTTCTTAGTTTTGACAGTTCACGAAATCTCGGGGAACAATTTTGTCATTCATAGGAGAAGACCCGATGGTGGCCAGCTCATCTTTAAGCGTAGTAAAGACTCTTTTACCATTCCGTTTTCGTTATGCAACCGAACTTATATCGCAGGTGAAGAGTGTGAACGATACAATGCGACAGCCAGTGGCGAAGAATGCTCATGTTCTTGTCCGTTGGACAGGGCATCGTTTGCTTACTTGAACAATGAGTGGAAGTGCCAAGAAAATGTGATGGTTAGGGACCTTCAAGGTAAGAAATAGTTTTACAAGTTGTAAGCAATGTTTTAAGAACCAGAAGAACTAGCGTTTCAGCTCTTTCTACCACAGTGACTTAAAACAAAGTTAAACACATAAATTGGCGGTGACTTTGATGTAATTCACTGGAACGTACTTGGTTATCTATACATAGTTTATATAAACAATTAACTTCAAAATTTTTCTAAAAAATCATTATATGATGATAAGAATTATTAATAATAAACATCACGAATCAAGCGAGATGAGAGAGTAATGACAGGTTTTAGGAACTGAAGACGGAAGGAAAATCAGCTCTTTGATCACCTCTAAAAAGCTAAGCAACCGATGGTGTTTTTTTTTTTAGATTAACAGAATGGCTTAATTCTAAAACTTCAATACCCTGATTAGCTGCACATAGGGGATGATTGGAAAATATGATGCTCTCGTTCGATCTCCCAACAGTTATATTCTCCATGCTTTCCCCAAATCAAATGCCACTTCCTTGACATAAATGGCTCTGGCTCTCTATTAAGATTCTATTGTGTGACGTTATTCAAGTTCACACAATAATTTGACTGTTAACTTCAGTACTGAAAGCAAAACTAAAGAATGGTGAGAAATTTGTTTTCACATTCCTAGATTGCGGCAACGTTCCAGTCTTCGTTTCCGAAAACCCAAGGGGAACGCTTTATACTTTGAAGATATCGAATGCAGTTTTAATGGAACGCCTACCCTATGAGTTCACAAGTTGTGAAGTCTACCTCAATTCTTCGTGGTTCCTTGGATGTAATGGGGAGCGACTTCAGCAGAATCAGTATATCAGGAAAATGAAAGAACTGTTCACATTTTTTCGCGCGCTACCTATATTGCCTCGTACCTTTTTCCTGCAGGTCAGCGTTACAATTCTAGAGGCGCTAATGCTAATTTTTCAAATACTGTTTATGACGATTGATTGCTCGCCTGATGTTTTTCAGAAAAAGGAAAAGGAAAGTAAGGAAAAATAGGGCTTGTCCTTTTCGGCAAATCCAAATTCCGATTGTTGATCTGGTGAATTCTCTTTTAAAAAGGACCCTGGTCTTGACAGAGTACGAAACTGGGCAGACAACCAAGGGCTATATCCCTCTACATAAATTCAAACGGAACTCGCTTCTTTCTCTGTTTATACATTCCGCTCCAACGCCACTATTCGAATAACCGATCACAAAATTCTTCATGGTATCATCGCATAATTCGTCAAACAGTAAATAACAAATCTTTTCTTGAGAGGCCGTCACACTTTTGACGGGAAAGGTTACCAAAGTTACAGATTCAATTGAGGGATTTCGCGTTCCTGTGTTTCGGTCGCGAAATCGGGCAAATCTAGAATCAAAAATCCGTTTTTGGATTTGTTGAAAAGAACACACCCTTCCTGAGCCTCGGAAGTATTAGGAGTAACAGTGGATGTCACACGCTTTATTACAGCAAGGAGCTCAAAAGTGTGACCGATTTTGATTTTTTCACATTCTCTCGTACAGATTTAATCCAATGAGAGGCCAGCTGGACGCTGTCCTCGAATTCTGATTGGTTAATGTCCGCATGAAAGAATGTGAGTTAATTAAAGAAGGTCATACTTTTGGGCTCCTTGCTGTAAAACTTTTTGCAGATTGTTTGTTTGTTTTAATGCCTTCATTTCAAGCCAAACCTCCCTCTCTTTAAAATCGTTTTGCATACTTTTTGTTTGGCTAAGCAATAAATAAATAACAACAACAACAACAACAACAACAACAACACTACCAACAACAACAACAACAACAACAGCAAAAGGCTGGAGCCACTTTAAATCAAAACATAATAAGTGTCCTTTTTTACTCTTTCTTATGTTATAAGGTCAATTATGGTGTACAGAACGCATCGCTTTTACTGGGAAAAATAATAAACCTTGGCTTCCGATGTTCATCCAGTACTACCCCTGGTCAACAATATTTTGGTTGTCTGCTGTTTAAACTTTATGGGCAAGTAACCTGTAAGTAAAGATCGTATTTTTATCGAATTACTTTCCAAACGCAAATAAAACGTGTGATCACCCGAGAAAATTGCATACGCACACGGACGGAAGGAGCGTGTCACCTTCCTCGCGGGTGGGAACTTCATCGTGCCTTCCCACTTTTACAATCTCTTGTGGAAAACAACAGTAGAGAAGGTCTACAATACTATGGCAAAATGAAGGCCTGATGATAGGCCTAGGCATAAATTAATTATTTTGTAAGTAAGAAGTTCTAACCGATTTGATTCATATAAGATTGCCATAACTTATTACTAGAAATGCCCTTCATAGGTCCAGTATCATTTCCCGATTTACCAACGTCTTCGTCGAAGATTATACAAAATGGTCAAACTCCAACGCAAACATCAGCAACGCTGACGACAATACTTAAACCAATTACAAGGACTAAAACAACTCTACAGTCTGCGAAAAGGATAACAACAACAACAACAACAACAACAACAGCACCTTCAACAATAACAACAACATCATTTGCAACTCTAAAGCAGCAATTTGTAAAAACTTCGAAAACGATGGGTTCTGATACTTTAAAGATTACAATCGAGACTGACACTCCCAAAAGCACTAAGACGTTTTCGTTGCACACCACCACTACGTCAACAACCGTTTCACAGACTCCTGCGCTGCAGTCATTCGTGACAACGTTACCAAAAAGTGTCTTAACTTCTAAGGTAAGTACGACAATCATTGGAAATGTAAGCATGATATGACATGATTTGTTACCTCTGCGAAACAGTCTTTAACTTTGTTATTGAAGGCTTTTGCACCCCAAGTACGGTTAGCCAAGACCGTCCTGGATTCTGGATTCAACGCTGTGGATTCCGGTTTCCAGGTAATAGATATTCCGGGCTTCTTGTCAGTAGAACTTGCACTCCGGATTAGAATCGTTAGCGGGATTCCGGGTTGTTTGAACCTTAGAGTCCTTCTTAAAGTCCAGCATCAATTCTCCCCAATCAAATTCAACCCATATTCGAGAGTAAATGGTATGAGAACAAACAAATTTTAATCCAAGGGAAAACGCTTTGATATTTTA